GCAACATGACTTTTTTTCTAAAAAGCATTAACACTGTGACATATTAAAGTAGCTCGAGTCAATCAAAATTAATTTGTTATATCCCCAACTAAACATATGAGATCGTGATAATTATATAATTTTTTTAAAAAAATAAATTAACTCCATGAGAAAAGGAAAAACAAAACACATCACGAATACAAATTCAAAATAAAATTAAATGTTTAATTGTGTTTTCAATATGGCATATTTGTTTTTTAAAAAAATATTGAAATTATAATATATTAAATTGACCTAAATGTAATGGATTGACCTGTCAAACCTATAATTCAAATTATGTGCTTAGCCAGATTTAATAATTTTTTTTCTAAAATTTAATTTTAACCTAAAGTAAAATAATAAAGTTTTAAAAAAATAAAACAAAAAATGCCACAAAAAAACCCTAACACATGGGCCTTTCAAGCTCAGGCATACACATCTAGACCTGATTTTATATATATATTAGAAGAAAATGACTTGTCAATGAACCCCTTTTCAAAAAGATAATAATTAAATGACCCTCAAATTTCGACCATTATAGTGATAGCTGAAAATTAGGGTAAAGTATTTTTTTACATAAAAACTCATATTTTAACCTAAAAATACTTTGTAAATACCCTCAAAACATCTAGAAATCAATTTATCAATCTAGAAAATCAAAAAACAAAATCCACAAACATATTAAAACCTAGTAGTAAAAAAAACAATTCTTTGACTTTGATCTAATTTTTTAGAAAATATTAAAGTTTTAAACAACCACAACATCAAATAAAAGTCATTGACACCAAGATTGACAATTTTTGTTGTTATGATGAGTGCAAATAACTTTCTTTCTTTACATTAAAATCTAGTAACTTTTTCTCTCTTTTTACAAACTAAGGACTGAAAAATAAAATAAAATAATTTTTTTTATAAAAATTAAATTTTTGATAATAAAGGAACTGAATTTTTATGAACCGAAAAGCAAGGGTGACCAAACTAAAATTTTTTGTTCAAAGTTTGAAGTCACCACCTATATTCCTTATCTTTTTCATGTTCATCCTCTATCTTTCAATTTCATTATTTCTTAAAAATAAAAATTAATTAGGTTTTAATTTGAGCTGAAAATGATACAATTAAATAAAAAAAGTTTGAGTATCAAAATGAAAATGGAGAGAGAGTGAATTGTTGTGATTCACAGGAAAGTGAGACATTGCATAGTAAATGATGAACTTTATTTTGTAATAACTAGTGAACTTAGCCAAGTTTCATTGTAAATAAAAATAAAAATAATTTCTAACATAAAAAATTACACTATTAAAGTTTTTTAGTTTTTTCAACATAATGTTTTTTAATTGTGAACTTAAAATATAACATGTATGTCTAATAAATAATTGATAATTATATACATTAATAAATATTTAAAAAGTTATTAACAATAATAAAGGCTAAATCAAGAACTAAGAAATCGATATAAATTAATAATAAAGACTAAATCAAGAACTAAGAAATAGATATAAATTAAAAGATATGAGCTCGTGATGTGAAGAGCCATTAATTTTTTTTATTTAATTATATGTCAACATTGCCCGAGAGTAATAAATTTAATGCTATGGAAACAATTTTTTTCCTTTTCTTTTAACATTATATATATATATATATATATATATATATATATCTTTTTTGTTCTATGTAATTAAAATATCTTTATCCTGTTAACACGCTACATTTCTTTTAGCATTTTATTACAATAATATTTTTTTACAACAACACATGGTAGTCATAAAAGCAAGTTTAATTTAAAAAAAAAAACTAAAGTTTTGATAATTTGAATGCAAATACATTAAAAAAATATATAAGAATGATACACAAATTATATGTTGACTCAAGAACATTTTAGCTAATTTATCAAATCCAATCTAGTAGGCTAGTTTAGAGATTTTTATATTTGATTCCTTGTTACCCTAGTTTCAAATTAATCAAGTTGAAGTTGACATGAATTGACCTGGTTGACATAACAACTCCAAACACAATCCGGTCAAAATATAATTTGATTTAAAAAATTTAAGAGAACTTTAATTAAATTTTTAACAAAAAAACATCTAGATGATGTTTTGAATCAACATGTGTTAATCTAAGTTAATTCATCAAACTCGTTATCCAGATCACAGATCCAATTAGGTTTAATAATTTTTTTAATATTTTTTATTTAATTATAAAATAATAAAAATAGAGATGCACATTAAAACAATCCAAAAAAATTTAAGCAAAAAAAAAATACAATTCATGAAGGGTTGTACAAAAAGAGTGCTTACTATATTAGGAAAAAAAATGTTATAATATCATTAAAAAACAAACAAAAAATTTAATAGTATTTTATAAAATAATATCTCAAATATATATTAATTAATTTATTTTAACAAAGTTTAATTAACATCGAAGACTCATTGTGTAGAGCCATTACTCGACCCAATTTCAAATTAAAGCGAGTTGAAGTTGATTTTAAATGACCTATTTGATTTGGTCAACTCGGATTGACTTAAAACAAATTAAAATAATGTCGTTTTAACTTCTTTTTCTAAAAAATATAGAGACAACAATATTTTAAAAAGACTTGGATCAACCCACTAAAATTGTCACTTAGGTCATAAGCTTGATTAGGTATAAAAACTTTATTTTGTGAAATTTATTATTTATTTAATTATTTAATAATAAAAATAGAGAAGCATAGAAAAATAATAGAATAATTTAAAAAAAAAACAAACAAACAAAACTTTACTAAAAGGTTGTACAAAATAGCATTTGCTAATATTATAAAAAAATGCTACAATCTTATTTGAAAATAAAATAAAACTTTAATGGTATTTAATAAAAAAAATTCAGATATATTTTTAATTTGTTTATTTTAATGAAATTCAATTTAAACTAGCATCTATTAATGTTACTCTAGCCATATTAGGTGGCCAAAATGTTGATCTCAACTCATTTAGATTAAAATAACTTGTTAATATTTTTTTTACTTAAAACCTATAAAATACTCCATAAATCTCATTAAATTCATGAACGACTTCTTAATTGTCCAAAATAATTGGGAAATCACCTAGATAAAAAACAAATTCAAGGCTAGCCATATAGACAAGAAAAAACTATTTTTAATCATTTTGTTTCATATGAAAACACCTAGTAAATAACTTATAAACTCATAACTAACCTCAAATCAACCTTTAATAAAGAGAGAGAGAGAAATCACCAAATTAAAAATAGATCTTGAATCTTAATTTTTTTTTTTGAACAAGAGGACGAGTAAAAAACATCTCAATAAAATTTCTCTCGCCAAATAAAATCATTGTTGCTAGAATATAATCAATCGACTACTTCCTCTCTCCTTTCTTATTTTTTAATAACTTTATCTCTCTTTTAATATTAGGATTAAAAAATAAATAAAATGAAGTTTTGAATCAAATTATAAAATACTAAAACTGAAAGGACCAAAAGATAAGTCTATAGAGGATATATGGACAAAAATACAATTTTTGCATGAATTCTAGAAAAGCCATGCTATTTTTTTCATGCTTGGTTTTTTTTAAATTGCATCTTTATGATATAAATTTAAACTTTATCTCATCAGCTTAACCTTCGATCAAGTTCAGGAACCATATCAAATATATTTATAAGATATTGTCAACTCAAAAAAATCACATGAAATAAATAAAAAGTTTAATGACTAAAAAAGCATTATTGAAATTTGTGTGATTTGTGAGGAGAAGCATGGCGTAAGAGCCCTAGTAAAATACCTTTTATATACACACACACAAGGGAGTAAAGATCGGAATTTAACAAAGCATGATTAAAATTTTAAAGAATTTATTTTAATAAATGTTCAAATAAATAATATTACTAGCTCATTTACAAACAAATTTAAATATATTAGAATATCATTTTTCTTTTTTCTTTTTTTGAAGTTTGATAGTCCCTTGATGTGTTTTAGAAATACCTTAAATTTAACTCCAATTGTATTACTTAATTATAAATTATATCTCAAATATTTTTATTTTATCATTTTATCTAAAAAATACAACAATATACCTCATAATCCTTTCATTATCAATTATTGTTTATTTTTTCAACAATTTGCATGTGTTTTGTTAAGTATTATCATTTAAAATGCTAAAATAGATCTCAATACGTCCCATGATGTAAGGAGGGAACATTACGATTCTTGGTTTAATTATTTTTATTATAATATTTATTTAATTGATAATATTTTCTAGAATTAGTTATTTTTTATTTAATTAGACAAATGGTAATAGGAAATTAGTAATCTAGGATTTAAATTATATTATATTTTTATTATTTAGTATTATTAGGGTTTTCTAGGTTTTATATTTAAAAAGTTGTAATAGGTTTTTGATAATGAATTAGTGAATAAAATTTGAATTTCATGACTTTTTTTACAACTTTAAAATGCATTTTTTTAAAAAAAATTTATAGTACTAAACAACCCTGTATATGCTATATGTTGTATCATTACAAAAGACAAATTTATATCAAATTATAGTGAAATGCTCTTTTTCTTCCTTCACTTCACCAGCTTTTTCATAACATTCTTAATTTTTTATTTTATTTTATTTATTTAAAAAAAATATAAAAGAGATAAAAAACAAATTCACAAGTTTTATTTCGATGCTTTTCATAGAAATATTTAGCCTATAAATTTAGATTGAATATAAATAATTTGTTTAGTTTTGTTATACATAGTTTTGATTTTTTGGGTTAAATTTTGTTGGTTTCTAAAATATAAAACCAAAATCAAATGATTATTTTTTTTAAAATCTTTTAATTGATTTTTTTGTTTTAATTTATCGGGTAGATTATTTCAATAAATTTTAAATTAATTTTTAAGAATATTATGGATAATCTGACTCGTACGCATACGTTACAAGTACCCCTATTTGAAGTTTCACCACCCGAATACATCTTTACGCTTCTGCCCTCGACTTGTAGGATATTCCATATTTAATGCCTCCTCCAGTTTTAAAAAATGCAGAAAAGAAACCGCTCCTCCTAAGCCATGGTGGTGCTTCCTTGTACTGTTGCTTTCCTACTCCTTTCCTTCTTACAGACTGTAAAAATCGCAAGTAAGTTTGCGTCTCTTTCTATTTTAATTACCTCCTTCCATTTCTAAAGAATTTACCTTGACTAAGCTGTCTTCATTTCAGTCTATGAAAACAAAAAATATTGGTGTTCTGTTTTGTCGTTTAAATTTTGCTGCTTTTTGTGCAGACTCGCAATCATTCATCGGTATAAACTATGGCCAAGTTGCGGACAACCTTCCACCACCACCATCCACCGCAAAGCTTCTTCAATCCACTTCAATCCAAAAGGTCCGATTATATGGATCGGACCCCGCCATAATCAAAGCCTTAGCCAACACCGGAATTGGAATTGTTATCGGCACTGCAAATGGTGACATTCCAGGACTAGCCTCTGATCCCAATTTTGCCAAGAGCTGGATCAACACACACGTGCTTCCCTTCTATCCAGATAGCAATATCATCCTCATCACTGTTGGCAACGAGGTCATGACTTCTAATGACCAGAATCTCATGAACAAGCTCTTACCAGCATTGCAAAATGTACAGAATGCTCTAAATGATGCATCGCTCGGTGGTAAAATTAAGGTCTCCACAGTTCATTCGATGGGAGTGCTTAAGCAGTCTGAGCCACCTTCTTCTGGAAGCTTTGATCCAAGTTATGGGGATCTGATGAAGGGCTTGTTGGAGTTTAATAGGGCGAATGGTTCGCCTTTCGCAATCAATCCTTACCCTTACTTTGCCTACAGAAGCGATACAAGGCCTGAGACTCTTGCTTTTTGCCTTTTCCAGCCGAATGCAGGACGAGTGGATGGAAACACTAAGATCAAGTACATGAACATGTTCGATGCTCAGGTGAGAGTAAATCAAATTGCAAGTGCGAAAATTTTGTATCAATAGATGATCTAATAAAAATGCTACTGACAAGTGGTTTAATCAATTGCAGGTGGATGCAGTTTATTCTGCACTGAATTCTATGGGATTTAAGAATGTTGAGATTGTGGTGGCTGAGACTGGATGGCCATATAAAGGAGATGACAACGAAGTAGGGCCAAGCATTGAGAATGCCAAGGCCTACAATGGCAATTTGATTGCACACCTTCGATCGATGGTGGGCACTCCACTCATGCCAGGAAAATCAGTGGATACATACCTCTTTGCTCTTTTTGACGAAGACGTGAAACCTGGACCTGGTTCTGAGCGATCATTTGGACTTTTCAAGACTGATCTCACCATGGTTTATGATGTTGGACTCTCTAAAAGTAGCCAGGTAAGAACAAAATTTATGTGCATTTCATTGGTATTTCGAGTTTTCAACAGCCAAGTGTTCTATTCCTGAGCTTTCCTTTGATTTGGCATTTAAATTTCTGTTTGTTTGGTTGGGAACATGGTTTTTAAAACATCACTACGCATTTTGTTTGTTAATAGAATGGACAGTTCCTTTCAAGAAAGAAAAAACACCGGCCCATAACATCTTTTTAATTGCTCTGTATGTCTCTATTAATATTCAAATTTTCAATGTAACATCATTATCAACAACATTTGAAATAAATAAAATCATCATTTTTAGACAAATAAATCCAAAATATTCTTGCAAATTGCACCTGCAAAAACCCATATAATTTATTGAAACAGACCCAGCCACCAGCAGCAGCACCACAATCGCCACCACCACCAGCCACCACCACCACCACCAGCAACAATAGCAGCAGCACGAGAACGAGCAGCGGCAACAGCACGAGCACAAGCAGCAAAAGATGGAGTGTTGTTTTGTGGGTTTTTCTAGAATTGAAAATTTTTAGAATCGGAGATTTCAGAGGTTTATTTAATTAGTATTTTCAAGGTTTGTTGTATGGGTTTATGGGACTTTCTTTGATTTGCTTTTTCTTTTATGACTTGCAAACTTTGAATCAAAAGTTGCAAAGAGATGATAAAGATAGGTTATGGTTTTTCCTCCTCTATTTTGTATGTTTCTTTGGTTGAGTATTATTATTAATTTTTTTAAGAGAAAAACAATTTATCCAAAGAGAAAAGAAAGGAAAAGTTAAGTTTATGAGCAAGCCCCATTTACACTTTTACATGATGCACTCAGTTCCCAATTCAATGGGACGAGGAACGGTGTCTGGACCGTCTCATTTGGTAGAAATTTGATCCTCATGAGTATCAGAAATCCCAATTTTGGTAGATTTAGTTGGTGGAATTGTGAATGTTTTTACATGATGCTTCTTTTATAGTTCCTATCCATGCAAATAAAGATAATATATATATAGCCTTGTTGCAGGTGGTTTAGCATAAAGATAAAAGAAGGAAGTGAAACCATAAAACACCCGTGTCTTCATTAACAAAAGGAAGTCCTTCACCAAACCCAAAACTTTGACTGCTTAGTCCACCATCTGTTCGCTAAATTTAAACACCAAGAAACATAAACATTTCAGAAAAAACATTACAAATCACAGGAAGCTCAGACAGCAGGAGATCCAAACCCTTCACTTCTCACAGTTGCATCTAAATCCTCGACTTCCATGACATCAGGAGTTACAATTTTCTGAAGAATCAACTGCGCATTTCTATCGCCAACCTTTACCTCGAAATCAACATTAGAGTGATAACCCCAACAGGGCCTCTGTAATCAGCATCTAGGGCACCAGCACCCACATCAACCGAGTGTTTCCATGCCAATCCCTGTCTGGGTGCTAAAACAACAAAACTCAGTTTTAGAAAGAAAACCAAACCATCTGTGAATATAATTAAACGGTACGAAGTGAGATTTATCAATACGAGCATAAGTTCCTTCAGGTATAGCAATGCTCAAATCTGTAGGGATAAGAGTTTTACTATTAAAAATACTATTATTGGTATTATAAGTATTTTTAATTTTAATATTATTAATATTGAAAAAATTATTATTTTGGTTTATAAATATTTTTATTTTTATGATGATTAATATTAAAAATATTATCATTTGTATTAAAAATATTATTATTTTTATTATAAATTTTATTTTTTATTATAATTAATCTTATTAATATCATAATTAAATTTTTTTGAAAATATATCATTCATTTTGAAAAATAACCATAAATTTGATTTAAAGGGTAAAATTATTATTATTATTATTATTATTAAATTTGAAGAAAAGTATTTTTATTATCAAAGAAAAACAACAAGTTTTATTCAAGGAAATAAAAAACTATAAAAACTTAGATGAGATAAGTTTAACATTATTATTAATATTATAAATATTATTAAATTTACAATAAATTTTCTTGATATACAAAAAAACATAAATGTGATTTAAAATCACTTATTTTTATTATTATTAACTTTGATTTAAAAGAACATATTAGATTCAAGTTGATTGAGTGTAACATGAGGCATACCGAAGTCGCCTAGATCTTGCAACCCTCCCTACACAAGACAATTGGGTCAAGAGTCATACCCTAGGTTAATGGGTCTATGTTAGGCCCCAATGCTCTTGGATCTTGCGTCTTCATCCAACTGTAATGGGTTCAGAATATAGAAAAACCCAAGGCTTTTGGATCCATCATTTAAGAGAAGTACAAAGCTTTCAGGTCTAGTATTATAGTTGAACCCACTTAAATTTGAATAAGTTTATTGTTATTAAAAATATTTTTAACATTATTATTATTAATATTAAAAATATTATTATTTATATTATAAATTTTATTGTTTTTTATTATAATTAATATTATTAATGTCATAATTGAGAAATTTTAAAAATATATCATTAATTTTGAAAACCAACCATAGATTTGATTTTAAGGAAAAAATTATTATTATTATTAAATTAATAAATTTGAAGAAAAATATTATTATTATCAAATAAAAACAACAAGTTTTATTTGAGAGAATTAAAAATTATAAAAACTTAGGTAAGATAAGTTTAATATTATTATTAATATCATAAATATTATTAAATTTGCAATAAATTTTATTACTATTGAAAAAAATATAGATCTAACTTCGAGGGTAAAATCAAAATTTTATTATTATTATCATTAACTTCGGTTTGAAAAGGCATGCCAGACCTAAGTTGATTTAGTGTGACATGGGGTAGACCGAACTCCCTTAGATCTTGCAACCCTCCTTGGCCTAAGACAATTTGGTCAAGAGTTAGACCCTAGGTTAATGGGTTCGCGTCAGGACCTAATGCTCTTGAGTTTTGTGTTTTCACCTAACTCTAATGGATTCGAAATGTAGCAAAACACAAGACTTTTGGATCTATCATTTAAGAGAGGTCTAAAGCCTTTAAACTTGGTATTATAGTCAGATCCACTTAAATTTGAGTAAGTTTATTGTTATTAGTAATATTAAAATTATTATTATTTGTATTAAAAATATTTTTATTTTATTATTATTAATATTAAAAATATTATTATTGTATTATCATTAATATTGCTAGTATTAAAAATATTATTATTTGTATTATAAAATTTATTGTTTTTATTATAATTAATATTATTAATATCATAATTAAGAAATTTTAAAAATATATCATTAATTTTAAAAACTAACCATAGATTTGATTTGAAGGAAAAAATTATTATTATTATTATTATTATTATTATTATTATTAAATTAATAAATTTGAAGACACTTGTACAATAAAAGAAATATGATTTGTTGTTAACATAAGTTATAATCATGAATGTCTAACAACCTTTACAAGTATTAGCATTATTCGAATAAGATAACTAATGTAATCATGTTAACAATTTATGATTCGATTTGAACCTTCTTTGTATGTGGTTTCCAATTGAATAATAAGAGTTTATACTATACTTGTTTGAAATACTATTAATAGATCATCTAACCTTAACATTTGTTGTTGTCATTGTTTAATCCTCACATTGATCTTCTATCTTAAAGTTCTCATCAATTTCTTCTTCTTCTTCTATTATTACTACTACTA